ATTTCAGTTGGGGCTAATGAGCTTGCAGATCCACTTAACGTACAAAAGTAAACTAATATAAACAAAGGAAGCATTAACAACTATAACTATTAAAAGTGTTATAAAAATAGGAAAATTGGTAACACTGCAAAAACTAGTAAAGCTGCTTAATTTTGTAGTAGTCCACTTCCAGTGGTGATGACAACTGAACATGGAATGCAAAATGATATCTGCTTTCCCAGGCCAAATTTTGGAGACGAAACAATTTTTATCCAAACTGATATAAATTTCAATGACAAATATTTGACGAACTATCTTGAGATTATTCAATTTATAACATCGAATGCTTCCCTTGTTAATGAATTAAACAACCACCATCACGCTGCCAGGCACTTAAAAATTAATACAAAAAACATTTGAAAAAGTAAATAAGTCAGTAATTCAAAAATAATCATCATTTTTGAATTACTCGTGACTGTCTCTTTCAAAAGCATGAATCAATGGCTAAAACTAAAACAGGTTTTAACAAACTATATTAAAAACAAACATAATTATTTTGCAATTTTATGAAAGCAACAGTAGGTAATAACGTTGAGTGGCAGCATGTTGCTGATTGTTGTTAGAGTTTATTAGTTAAATATTTTACTAATAAAAAAGAAATACACTAAAATAACAATTAACCATTTAGCAAGTTTCCCTTTGAGCAGTGAGGAATGTGCTAGCCAAATTCTAAGAGTTTTCCCACTTAAAAGCAATTTATCTTAGCCTGTAATGAAGCAAACCCAAATGCAAAAGCAGAATACTGAAAAACTAGGTGTCCTGTGCTGTGCTGAAGCCCTCTAATCTCGCAATTTAGGCTAAGAATGAAACCTTAGTATGTGGCCAATCAAAAAGTCGCTGAGCAGTTACCATAACAGGCTTACTGTTTGTTTTCCCTACGTTGTTAAACGTCAGTTTCCAAATATTTTAAATTTGAGACTATATTTAGTTAAATTTCTTGTGGTTTGCAAATATTATGAATTTTGAATTGATGAAATTAACTCTTGAAATTTAGTTGAACTTGATTTACTGTTGTTAATTTTTATTTTACCTTTACGGCCCAAAAATGATCAGCAACTAGTTTTTCCTCACACAGTGAACCAGACACATCACAAGAATTGACCAAATGATCATGAATCACAAGGAAAATTAATTTGTCTCAGTTTGTTTCTCAAAATAATCAATCGGAACCCATTAGAAAGGTATGGAGACAAGATAAGAGAATGTGCCATTACTGTTTGTTTGTCTGTTTACGACTGAAATTGAATCGTTTTTTTCAACTTTTGGTCAACTTTTCTAAACAATAATTAT